CCATATTTCCCTGAGTGGCTGAATGAGCGAGTTAGTGTAGTTTTACACGGTGTTAGCAATATTCCAGCAATATCATGGCGGGGGACACCAAGAAGTGGGCTTCACACACTGTACCCATGTGGGGAATCAAACCGGGTCTTCGACGTGATAAGCAAACACTAAGCTACCCCACCACCACCTGTGGCTGAACGAGGAGGTGAAGTGAGTTTGATACAAGAGTCACCTATAACCACTACATCGTGACCACTAGACTAGTGGCTGAGGCATGTGTTTGTCAGACCAAGGGTCTGGGTTTGATTCCCATCATGGTAAAATATATGAAGATGATTCCTGGTTTGCCATGCCTGGATTTACTGGAATATTGATAAAACACAACTAACTTCTACGTGTATCGTGTATCCACGTGTATCATGTATCCACGTGTTTCACTATCTGCAGCAGCACCTTTCACTATCAACCCACATCAGACGAGGCCGACACATTGTTACACGCGAATATTTCAAATACCAGAGTAACAGTTCCGCTCTACTCAACACCAAATGAGAATTTCCTCTTAAAATATCTACGGGCCACGAGCCTAATCCACAATGAAGCCTATAGTTCAGGTAAACATGCTTAAATAATACAATCCACCCTATCCCTTGCTTACACCATGAAGCAGGTAATTATACACCTAGACTTACTCAAGTGTCTAACACCTGCAGAAATTAAATGTGGATTTACTGTTACGACTTACAACTTGATTACATAACACATCAACAAGATGCATGTATACACTTACAACTGTTTTAGATCCCTGGTCATGCCATACCAATGTTTAAACACTCTAATCAAGTACTGAAAAGATCACAGTCAATCAATATTTTACTTACAATACTCAAACATTCTGCCATCAATCAATGTCATCTAAGTATGTTAGTACTGTTGATAATAAGAGAACACAAGAGATAATGTTGACGGAATAATTCAGTCACACTGACACTATTTAGTTGGAGACAAGCACCACCAGAACAGCAGCAAATTCAGACAGGACATCTTGTCTTCTTGTTATCCAAAGATATCAATATTTTTAGGGACATCTTCTATGACAAGAATGTCCTAGAAAGTGAAGAGACCTGAAACCCTGTCTACAGCCACAAAATACAGTGCCTGAAGAGTTAACAGTTTCAAAATACCATCAAAACTAAAACGTTCTCTCACTATCAAATATATGTAGTGTAACTGTTAGGTTATCAAGACAATTTGATGTGTCAACATATCTATGACAACCCTTAGTCTACACAAACAGCTGGAGGAGATTGTCAATAGCTGTCTAGGAATCTGCGTTATGGCTACAGTTGTTCGTAATCCCAGTCTCAATCTCCTCGCCACTTAATCCCAGTCTCCCTGATGCGTATAGGGGCTGCTTTCATAAGTCCTTGATGCCATTCATTTGGGATGAGGAAACAATAAGCCCCTGATGTCAAACCCCCGGTCACCATGACAACCATGTTACTTGCCTGCCCTCTTACAGCCATAATAATACATGTATCTGACAACATCTCAGAAGCTAAGGTTCATACAAAATAATGTCAAATATAGATAAATTCTGTTTCTTCTACTTAAACATCACAACACAACTTAAACCCAGGGATTTACAAAGGGTTGTGAACAAAATGATTTAGTCCCAATTTTGACAGTGAAATTTCACGCTTCTGTAATTGACATGACGCCCATTAATTACAGGGAGAATATTTTGTTTGCAATTCAGATTTTCTAAACTTCAGATATATTTTCACGTGCAGTCAACATGTTCAATACAGTAGAACTACACATCATCTCCTGTTGATAGTATATCCACGGCCACAGCCTTACTTAAGGAATAATTTGATAAAATGAGTTTTTTATTCCTGCTTGGGAACACCATTATTTGGTTCAGACTAGTTGAGACATATCTTTGCAGTCAAAACATGAATTGTGTTACATTTGGTACACCTGAGAATGTTCCCCTTCCTGGGTAGATCACAGTGTCACATTTATCATTCAATCTGTGTTTTCATACACTACAGAACAAACAATGTAAGATAAGTGACCTTCTGACAAAACATCCTCATCATGTATATTCACTTCTAAGGGATGCAGCATTCTTTCAGTCTTACACATGGGGCAGGGCTGTTTAATAACAGCATAAAAGTCAGCTGCTCTCAGTCAACTTATCTGTCACTGCTTCTTCAGAGAAGAAGATCCTTATTTTGTTATTCCAGGGTGATTCAGTGGGAAAGCTTGCATTATATGAACTGTGTGTAACTGGCGTCATGTAAACTCTGTCACTACAGGCAAACATTAAGACGCTTAACTTATCTGAATCGATTATTAGGGACCCTGATTTCATGTATCAATCACGGTGACAAGTGTCCTTGACTGTTACAGAACTGTACATCACAACACACATGACAAGTTCCCTTGCACTTCACAAAGCTCAAGTTAAGATTTTCTTTTAATTAATTATCCAAAGTAACAACTTCTTCCTGGTTGAAACTGATGGTGTCAGTTTAGACGAACAGTCTGACAGGAGCCAGCAGTGATGAACACTGACAGAGGCTGGACACCTGGTATCATACATCATCATCTCAGTACAGAAGTATCATATAGTAACTTACATAACTACAGAGTACCAGGCTGGATTATGCTTGATTTCAGTCAGATAACAAATTATATGAAACAGTATTCTTTAACAGAACGGTAAATCTCCTCTTGAAAGAGTGAATTAATACTTAACTCAATCTTTTAAGAGGAGATTAACTGTTCTGTTAAAGAATACTGTTTCATGTAACCTGTTATCTGACTTATATCAAACATAATCCAACAGAAAATAACCCCAAACAAAATACAGAGACACTGAATGAGTGCCGGCCACAGAGACATGATAGAGATTTATAGGAATTCCACCGTTGTAAACAAACAACAAGCAGTCCTCACGTACTCCTTGGAATACCACTGTCATGTTAAAAGAATTACTCATCCATTCCCATCACTGTCGGAGGGTCCCAGGACACGCCCTCTACGCTAAGTGAAGATTTATACTTCAACCTCCGAGAGCGTCTCACATCTCCATTCATACACCCAGTGTACACACACTCCACATAACTGGGACAGTGTCACATTGACAAAAGGGGATCACAAACAATAAATCAAACATATATAACCTGATCCCCTGTGAGTTCACTCAGCATATGCCAATCCTTGTATTTTTTAGAGAAAAAATAGATACCTACAAAAAGCCATAAAAATGAAATCCAATGAGAATTCTGTGAGAGTGTTTGGGGTCCTAGGGAGTAAAGGTGTTGATGTCTGAACAAATGCTAGGGAGACCCATCTTGCATGTGGTAGCCTGTCTGGCCTGCTGGTATGGTTTGAATCCAAATGCTTGTCATGCAGGTCTCACAGCTGAGTTCATGATGTCACACACAAGCATGTTGTCATATGGACAAAGATAAAATATACACAGGAAATTCACTCATAAACCAACCACCCCAGGAGAATGAGAAAAACATATACACTACAGTGAGTGAGTGAGATCATATTTTATGTCACATACACACTACGGCCACTTACTATCTAGCACACGACCAGATGACATTCACTAAGTTTGGGTACAAAAGTCTTCTTGTTGCCACACTTTAATTCCTAAAGGGACACTGGAAAATCTTTCTGGAGTATTCAGTAATGCATAGCAGGGAAAGCAGTAGTCATCCTCATGATGTCAAACTAATTAAACTAATTAAAACTTGACAAACATTGCAAGTTAAATCCACCACACATTATACAATGGACCCTGTAAGTCAACAATACCTGTGACAGATGATGCATGAGCCTGATGTACCCATGCCTGCTTACACGGCTAGCAGGTCCATATGTCTGAACAGTTGCTTGGCAACAAGTAAAAAACAATACAGCATTAACATTCTTGGTGGAAGTGTGTCTATTGTCTACATAACAGGTCACCCTCTACAGCTGGGCACTCCACTCCGGAACTCATTTTCATTCCAGCTCTGTGCTACACAGTACAGTTTGAAAACAACATATTAAAAACAGGTTTTGAATTTGAATCAATAGATTTGTGATTTTCGTTACTTTCAGTCTCTGTAAGTATGAGGAAGTAGTCATCACAGTGAATAATATAATTAATGAAATAAAAAACATACTGAATTGTTGATTTGGTGACTCACTTGTTTCACGGCAAATAACATATAGGCCTGCATACCTTGTAATAGAAGAATATCTATTTCCTGGATTTGAGGAGGGCAACTTGTCAATCATCATTACAAATTTGAATTAATGTGTTTGCTGTGAATTAATTATCGATGATCACTTGACACCACCCCACGACACCTGCTATCACAGTATATTCAATGTAGAACCACTTGAGCACCCCCAACATCTACACACTTTTAAACAATGTTGCACTACAATAATGACAGGTCTGGTGGGCTATACTACTGGACATTCACTTGATATGTCTGCAGCACACACTTCACACAAGATTTGTCTGAATTGCTGATACACTTGTTAATACACACAAGTTAGAAGTTTGTAAAGTACGCTCGGGACATTTTTACAAATCAACACTGTCAATGTTTTGAATAGATGTAGGCCTTGTAGAACTATTTTATTAACTAAGATGTAACAACACCAGCAATTCAAACCTGTGAAAATACACAAAAAAGCCGTTCTCCGATTAGTAGCTGAGAACGGAGATGGCTATCAGATTTGATGACAAATGTTGTCAATCAATGATAGGTTAGGTTTCAGTGTAAACTGTACATTGACAGCTAGCAGAGACTTGATACAACACTCTGACAGGCCTATAACTGATGCCAGCATCATCTCTACTCGTTCACACAGACATCTACAAACTGGAAACTCACCAAATGATGGGCCGTTCAGATCGACATCACGCAATAGACATGCCACTGCGCTTGTCAAAGTTCATATGAAAGTAAACATTTCACACATCTTACCGTTTAGAAGGAGATTTAGTCCATTCCCGCGCAATGTTGCTCTCCCTAACTCCATGGTGGCAACACAGCGCAGTTTCAGTCTATATTCGTATCCATATCACAGCCGTGGTACGTCGTGCTTGAAATTACCGCACTCTCTCAGCAACTCGTCGCGCACCTGTTACCGCGTGGAGTGCAAAATATTAACTCCACTCGAGAGAGAGTTCCACAACAAAACCACGTGACCTACAGCAAGCGACCGCTAAGATTGCATGGGCTCCGACTAAACAACCCCGTGGATCTGTGTCTAATTTGAAATAAATGCGGATGTTTCAGAGATGATTGTTATATTTTTGAAAGCTTATTCTGCGGCATGTAACTTGGATGACAATATACTCGAACAATGTTCAATCACAAACGCTGTTTAGAAGTTCGATTTCAAAAGGTCTTTAGTAAGAAATGCCAGTCATATTTTACGAGCGTATCGTTCAAAGCTCTCTGTCTGAAACCTGTTTGGAGTGTATGTTCAGTAAATTGGTAGAAACATTCGGGTTCAAGGAATGAGTGAGTGAGTGAGTTTAGTTTTACGACGCACTCAGCAATATTCCAGCTATATGGCGGCCATATGTAAATAATCGAGTCTGGACCAGACAATCCAGTGATCAACAGCATGAGCATCGATCTGCGCAATTGGGAACCCTATGATATGTGTCAACCAAGTCAGCGAGCCTGACCACCCGATCCCGTTAGTTGCCTCTTACGACAAGCAGAGTCGCCTTTTGTGGCAAGCATGGGTTGCCGAAGACCTATTCTACCCTTATCTTCACGGGTCGATTCAAGGAATGTATCCAAATAGGTCGTTAACACTGAATCGCCATTTTTAGACCACGCAACTAATGCAAACTGACGTTAACCTTCACATGAACGTTCTTAGTATATTTTTAATTGCCCAGGTTTTCCTGAATTAAACAACTGTTTTATACTTTACTCCAGCAAGCGTGGAATGCCATGCTATATGTTAATGTATTGTGGACCTGTGGCCCGTCACAAAATAGACTATCAGTTAGTCTGTATTAGAATATCCCCACCCTCCATCATCAAGGGTATCAATACTATCATGATAAATACCCCCGATCTGTTCGATACTCCGTTTAGCGATCGATTCGAACTTGTGACGCAACTGTTAAACTAGCTGTCCAATCAATGCAGACTATGAAGCGAGGGATTCCTATGCTAAGGCAGCGACGGGGGAACTAGACAACTACTAACGTCAGAAAGCTGCTGGGTAATAACTGGTCATAACGCATTGGAGATGCCTACAACCCTCTCCTCAATGTTTCTTACAAGCAAGGGCGACAGGACCCGGATGCACAGGGAAAATATATGATGCGTTGTTCCACGTCCTATTCTACATAGTTCATATTTCGATAGTTAAAACCTTTAAGTTCAACACACGTTACATTTTACCGCTTCCGTGGTCAGCATTATATTAAAATACGATAAACGATGGTACTTTTTACCCTCCATGGCGCTCGCCAACAAGGGTAGAAAACATCGATTCATCACAGCAGGTACTCGCAAGCAAGCACACACACTCACGCGCACGCATATGCATGCACGCATGCGCACACACACACACACACACACACACATTGAGGGATTTTCAACACCTCACATCCGAGGTTTAATATGAGCCTGTAGATATATACCTACCACCCCATGTACCCAATACCAAAGACCCACATGAACTAGTACCAGGTGTACCTAATACTTAGAACCCCTATGAACCACTACTCCAGGTACCCAGCACCTAGAACCCCCATGAACCACTACTCCAGGTACCCAGCACCTAGAACCCCTATGAACCACTACCCCAGGTGAACCCCCATGAACCACTACTCCAGGTACCCAGCACCTAGAACCCCCATGCAACCACTACTACTCCAGGTACCCAGCACCTAGAACCCCCATGAACCACTACTCCAGGTACCCAGCACCTAGAACCCCCATGAACCACTACCCAGGTACCCAGCACCTAGAACCCCCATGAACCACTACTCCAGGTACCCAGCACCTAGAACCCCCATGAACCACTACTCCCAGGTACCCAGGTAGAACCAGCACCTAGGTACCCAGCCCCCCCATGAACCACTACTAGAACCCCCTAGGTACCCAGGTACACCTAGAACCCCATGAACCACTACTCCAGGTACCCAGCACCTAGAACCCCCATGAACCACTACCCCAGGTACCCAGCACCTAGAACCCCTATGAACCACTACTCCAGGTACCCAGCACCTAGAACCCCCATGAACCACTACTCCAGGTACCCAGCACCTAGAACCCCCATGAACCACTACCCCAGGTACCCAGCACCTAGAACCCCCATGAACCACTACTCCAGGTACCCAGCACCTAGAACCCCCATGAACCACTACTCCAGGTACCCAGCACCTAGAACCCCCATGAACCACTACTCCAGGTACCCAGCACCTAGAACCCCCATGAACCACTACTCCAGGTACCCAGCACCTAGAACCCCCATGAACCACTACCCCAGGTACCCAGCACCTAGAACCCCATGAACCACTACTCCAGGTACCCAGCACCTAGAACCCCATGAACCACTACTCCAGGTACCCAGCACCTAGAACCCCCCATGAACCACTACTCCAGGTACCCAGCACCTAGAACCCCTATGAACCACTACTCCAGGTACCCAGCACCTAGAACCCCTATGAACCACTACTCCAGGTACCCAGCACCTAGAACCCCCATGAACCACTACTCCAGGTACCCAGCACCTAGCAACCCCCATGAACCACTACCCCAGGTACCCAGCACCTAGAACCCCATGAACCACTACTCCAGGTACCCAGCACCTAGAACCCCCATGAACCACTACCCCCCCAGGTACCCAGCACCTAGAACCCCCATGAACCACTACTCCAGGTACCCAGCACCTAGAACCCCATGAACCACTACTCCAGGTACCCAGCACCTAGAACCCCCATGAACCACTACCCCAGGTACCCAGCTAGAACTGAACCACTACACTCCAGGTACCCAACCCCCCCATGAACCACTACCCAGGTACCCAGCACCTAGAACCCCCATGAACCACTACTCCCAGGTACCCAGCACCTAGAACCCCCATGAACCACTACTCCAGGTACCCAGCACCTAGAACCCCCATGAACCACTACTCCAGGTAGCCCAGCACCTAGAGCACCCCCATGAACCACTATGAACCACTACTCCAGGTACCCAGCACCTAGAACCCCCATGAACCACTACCCAGCAGGTACCCAGCACCTAGAACCCCATGAACCACTACCCATGAACCACTACTACTCCAGGTACCCAGCACCTAGAACCCCCATGAACCACTACTCCAGGTACCCAGCACCTAGAACCCCCATGAACCACTACTCCAGGTACCCAGCACCTAGAACCCCCATGAACCACTACTCCAGGTACCCAGCACCTAGAACCCCCATGAACCACTACTCCAGGTACCCAGCACCTAGAACCCCCATGAACCACTACTCCCAGGTACCCAGGTACCACTACTCCAGGTACAGCACCTAGAACCCCCATGAACCACTACTCCAGGTACCCAGCACCTAGAACCCCCATGAACCACTACTCCCAGGTACCCAGCACCTAGAACCCCCATGAACCACTACTCCAGGTACCCAGCACCTAGAACCCCCATGAACCACTACTCCAGGTACCCAGCACCTAGAACCCACAAATCAATACACAGGTATCAGTAGGGCAGGGCGGAATCAAGTGGCAGTACCAACTGAGAGAGGCAGTACAAGACAGTAGTTACAGCAATGTAGACAGTGATGGTGATATTCACAGTAACAGTACTCCAGGGCTACTCAGGGTGAGTACTAGCGTAGAAAGCTATGACACAAAATGCTGGCCCTCTTGTTGCTTGAGATGTAAGTGAACTAAGAGACAATAGGTAGACCCCCCTACATGTATATACTTCTATCAGGCAGGTGATTCTGGAATAAGGATCTTGTAGCCCTTTCCAGATCATTCTGTCTAAATCTATTTTCAATACAGCACATCACTGCTTCTTACTGAATATATAGGCAGATTGTGTGGCAGTTGAAATGGTGTTGAACAACGATACAATAAGTATAAGATATGTTCACCCAAAATTCAAATCTTGTCAAAACTGATCACCCTCAACCATATCCTGTTAAAGCATCAGCGATAATATTTTCTTTGGCTTTAATATGTTTGATGTCTAAATCAAATTCCTGCAAAAACAAGCTCCAGCCTATTAGGTGCCGAGAATATCAGTGGGAGGGTCTGCTACAACTGAGACGTAGTAAATCAGCCGTTCACTAAAATATCATGAGTTTCACTTGTTTTTGAGGACCTGGGGATTTCGAACTTGATTCCACCTTCGTTTGAAACGGCGGTACCTGATCCAGGCCTATGACATGACCTACACATTGTACCTGTACCTATGCAAATTCACATTCTGCTAAATCCACAGTCAGCTTGGCTTCAGTGTCTTCCCAGTCCACGGAATGAGTGATGGTATGAACGATGTAGGCGCCATCTCCAACTAGCTTGTCAGTAATGTCGTCGCTGGAAGGTGGCATTACTTTGTATAGATACAAACGCTGTAACCTGCTTGGCAATCTCTGTCAGTGGAATCTGCCAGTACCCCTTCATTAAGTCAAACATGCTGACGTACCTGGTTTGACCAATTCTGGTATTCGGTAAGAGACAGTTTTAGAAACAACGCTCACACCTATTATGTCCGTACTGTCATATTGGGATGGCAATGTTGTGTCTGTTTACGACGAGTTGGTGCCAGCACAACTTAGTCAGTATCACTGACTTTCTTATCAATAACACATGGCTCATGGTACCTAGCTTGTAATGGCTGACTAGGGAAAACAAAAAACACTTTATTGCCAGGACTGAAATTTCTGTCTCAAGACTTCTTGTCATCTTATCATAATCTATTTTCATCATGTCCTGGGATCCTTTCGAATTATGCCTATTGCCTAACAAATTCAGGAGCTTTCAAAAGCCTAGTCCGAAAAGAGGAAACATAATCTAACAAACTCATTTCAGACACATAATAAAAACCCAGTGCTCCCTCAAGCGCTTCTTTGATCCAAGAACAGTAAGTATGCCCAAAGACCAGGTCAGAATAAATGAAACCTTAGCTGATAAGGTTTGCCAACCATTTTACACACTTGGCAGGTTTTGCAAAGTTCAGCAAGGACATGCGCGATTTAGACCAAAAGAAAATGGGGCAAAATTCACAAACGCAAAACATGTTTTTGAATTGAATTTGGAAGTACAATGTCATAAAAAAATCCTCTATTCTTTATCAGCAGGTGCATCTGTTGGCCTCCAATACCTTTTCAAAACGGAAGTAACAGCACACTGGAACATTGTCATCGTCTTGGGTGCCATGTTGGCTAAAATTTTTTAGTTCTGGGCCTACTCCCTGTAACTTGTTCAACTGGGGAGGTTAGCCTGCCCCTTCATGGTTTATAACCCTGGGAACTCCTGCCTGAAAACACACTGGGAAGGTTAGACTATCCCTGCATGGTTTATAACCCTGGGAACTCCTGCCTGAAAACACTGACTACCTAAAACTATAATAATCCCCTGGCAGGGTAGCAGCTTGGTGCAACTGATTGACTTTCTGCTCGTCAAGATAAATCCGAATGTCTCTTCAGACACACTGCTTAAAGCTTTCCAGCGAAAACCTCTGTCTAACTTACCATATATCACCTGCCAAACCCAGTTTCCTTCTCCCTAGCAAACACAACGACGCTCGATATCTTGCTGATATTTCATTATTTTCCTGTCATGTGCCAGTTTTGAACCTTTGTCTGATTTTGGTTGAATCCAATTCATTCACTTCAGTTGTTTTATTACGAACAAACAATCAATATTTTCATATAGAATAGACCTAATACTTTTACTTACGTGACAGGAATGGTTCAGTGAGTGTTATTGTATGGTGTCAGGGCCAATCCCCCGAACTCTGACTAAGCCAGCTCAGCTACAGCTGCGACGTAAGTACCAGGTACTAGTTCACGTGGGTACTAGGTACATGGGGTAGTAGGTATCTTCAGGCGGATAATGCGGGTTCTTGTGGGTTCTAGATATTACTGTTATGAGGCAGTGTTATACGTTGGGCAACATGTTTCAGCGGTTACACATTCTACTTATAGATTCAGTAAGGGAAAGTGGTGTGCTATATTTAGGCTTGTTCTAGATTTAGACAGAATGGTCTGGAAATGGTCACAAGGTCGTTACCCTAGAATCGTCTGTGAGGAGGTATAATGGGTGCTAGCTATTGCCACTCATCTCACATTACCAAAGCCACAAGAACACCAGCAACTGATCACAGTGATCACTCCCTACCCCAGGATCATTTTGCTCACACTTATTTTGTGAAGTTGGATTACTGTTACTGAGAGGTGAATTTTACCATAATTTTCTTTAGCAATCACTGTTCTTGTATTATACTGTCTTTGAATTTGTACTGCTACACATTTTCTACTGCAATAGTGATACGTTTGTGTTGATTTGTGAGCTAAGTTAATTGGAACACAGTGATTAATTCCAAGATGTCTTTGTTGTATGTTTGTTTCACACCTAGGACTGATTCCCAGTTAACTTTTCAGTTCCAACTTGGGAATCGACACGTAACATTACGTTCAACAAGGCATTCAGGGTGGGTTGGTTATGTGCAACAAGACATTCAGGGTAGGTTGGTTATGTGCAACAAGACATTCAGGGTAGGTTGGTTATGTGTAACAAGACATTCAGGGTAGGTTGGCTATGTGCAACAAGACATTCAGGGTAGGTTGGTTATGTGAAACAATACATTCAGGGTAGGTTGGTTATGTGCAACAAGACATTCATGGTAGGTTGGTTATGTGTAACAAGACATTCAGGGTAAGTAGGTTGGCTATGTGCACCAAGACATTCAGGTAGGTTGGTTATGTGCAACAAGACAATCAGGGTAGGTTGGTTGCTTATGTGCAACAAGACATTCAGGGTAGGTTGGTTATGTGTAACAAGACATTCAGGGTAGGTTGGTTATGTGCACCAAGACATTCAGGGTAGGTTGGTTATGTGCAACAAGACATTCAGGTAGGTTGGTTATGTGCAACAAGACATTCAGGGTAGGTTGGTTATGTGCAACAAGACATTCAGGGTAGGTTGGTTATGTGTAACAAGACATTCAGGGTAGGTTGGTTATGTGCAACAAGACATTCAGGGTAGGTTGGTTATGTGCAACAAGACATTCAGGGTAGGTTGGTTATGTGCAACAAGACATTCAGGGTAGGTTGGTTATGTGCAACAAGACATTCAGGGTAGGTTGGTTATGTGCAACAAGACATTCAGGGTAGGTTGGTTATGTGCAACAAGACATTCAGGGTAGGTTGGTTATGTGCACCAAGACATTCAGGGTAGGTTGGTTATGGTGCAAAAGACATGGGTTTGGTTATGTGCAACAAGACATTCAGGGTAGGTTGGTTATGTGGCGCATTGCACAAGACATTCAGGGTAGGTTGGCAATGTGCACCAAGACATTCAGGGGGTAGGTTGGTTATGTGCAACAAGACAATTCAGGTTCAGGTTGGTTATGTGCAACAAGACATTCAGGGTAGGTTGGTTATGTGCAACAAGACATTCAGGGGTAGGTTGGTTATGTGCAACAAGACATTCAGGGGTAGGTTGGTTATGTGCAACAAGCATTCAGGGTAGGTTGGTTATGTGCAACAAGACATTCAGGGTAGGTTGGTTATGTGGCTATGCGCACCAAACAAGACATTCAGGGTAGGTTGGTTATGTGCATGTAGGTTGGTTATGTGCAACAAGACATTCAGGGTAGGTTGGTTATGTGCAACAAGACATTCAGGGTAGGTTGGTTATGTGCAACAAGGCATTCAGGGTAGGTTGGTTATGTGCAACAAGACATTCAGGGTAGGTTGGTTATGTGCAACAAGACATTCAGGGTAGGTTGGTTATGTGAAACAATACATTCAGGGTAGGTTGGTTATGTGCAACAATTTGGTTGAAAACAAATTGTTCCTGAAGTACATAGTAGAAATAGTTTATCACATGTTTCTTCAAAAATTCTTCCATTCAACAAGACATTCAGGGTAGGTTGGTTGTGTGCAACAAGGCATTCGGGGTAGGTTGTATCCCTGAGTAGAAATAGTTCACGTTCTCACAAAATTCTCATGATCCTAGAGTATGTTCCGTTCCGTCATGACAGATACACGTGTAAAACACTTACTGTGTGAAGAAGCATCAAAAGCACTACGTTTTCTATTGACTAAAGCTACAGTATACAACATTTAGATAACCTTCTAATTAAAATTACTTGATGCAATTACAATCCCATCCCAGGTTCTGAAACCTGTTTTTTTTTAAAAATAGCTGTATAAATGAAAAGATTCACCTGACTGCATCAGAAAATTGTTACCTATCAAAAAGACCACTCCCTTACACATGTTGCATGCAGAAATGGCGCGTAAATCACTTGACATCACTGTGATAAATTGAGTAAAATCATC